CATGATCTATATTCCCTTGTGATTTGGACAGAGCCCCAGTTACTTAAAAAGAAAATTAAGTTATGGAAAAGTGAAATATAATCAGGACAAAAATTAGTATCTAACACTATGCCACAAACATTAATTAATTTCAAGCTGCTATACATTTGGCCTTATTTCTTACTTTTCAGACTAACTCCCTTTCATCGTTTATCTCCTGCCACTGTTTTAATGGACTTATCCCAACCCTCCCGCTCCATCAGTCACTGCAAGTGGATGTTAAACACCATCTCCCTGGAGCACTAGCGAATAGCTTTGTAACAGGATTGTAGAAAAAATGCCTGGAGGTTACTTCTAAAGCAGGGTGTATTCCTTACGTACTTCTGGTACATGTTGATACTATAAGATGATAAAATCTTTGCCATCTGGCAGTGTGTGTAATTAGAGCAGTAGCTCTGTGCAAAGACATATGGGCAAGAGTACACAAGGTAACCACACACACATGCATTCCTTTTAGGTTTTGCTAAGACTGTAAAATGGACTCTAACACTAACCTTCTCCTTCACCTTTAACATCACATAAAATTTAGAAAAAAAAATAAAATCTGAACTAAATTATTTTTCCCTGACCATAGTTCATGTCTGTTTACTAAAATTTTCTGCCATGTAGATAAAATTCCAAGTTTTTCTCGATGCTGTGTTGCATCAACATATTAACAGAGGACTGACACTGGACATATTTCCCACTGCACATATCACAAAATCTCAGTTTGAGACCAAACTTCAAATAAGCAAGCAACATGCTTCATTACGTATACATTCAAAGAGACTGCTAAGACTGGGAAAGAGCACTTTGGAAAACCGCAGTACTACCTCCATTGCTCAGCCAGATTTTCTCCAAGAGGAAAACTGAAAATGTCCTCTGCAGGTAAACCACAAGCTCCAACTTTTTTCTCAGTCTTAGTACTACGATCAGGAGAAACAAATGTTGAGGTCTCCAGTCCTTCAGTTTCTTTAAACACACCAAATAACCCTCTCTGTCATACCAACAAACCTCATGCGGGACAAGTCCTACAAGGATCGGCTGCGTTCACATTCATTGCCTGTTGAAAGCAGCAGTGAAATTTTAAAGTGCAATTTCCCATGCTTCCTTTATGGCCATTGGTTTGTTCAGTCTCCAGGGTGACCTTGTAGTGGGCAAACTAAATTCACATCCAAGGAAATCAGTAGCCATACTCCAGGTTCACAGTGAGTGTACTCCCTTGGTGGGAATAGAGGGATTCAAATCAATGGTCAGCTTTGGATCATAGGTAGTGGGAAAGTTTGACTAACAAAATTAGATTGATTTTGAAGTAAAGACTCCAAAATGCAGGTAAACCCAAATATAGTGGTTTCACTACCAAATTCTGTGATTTCCTGATCTGCTTTTGCTTCTTCATACTACTCACTAAAGTAAGCGCAGACATCATCTGCAGCTGAAGAAAATAGCAGATAAAATATTTAGTATTTTTACACCCTGAATAGTTGTGATAAAGGCTCTTTTTGCAATGACTCAGCTCAGTATGCAGCATATCAAAATGTGTTTAATATTTTGCATGACTGTAAAAGACATGTATGGTTCCAAATATTTCTTTCTTTGCAAATAAAGAGGTCTAACTGAATGCAGAATTTACAGTTTGAAAACATATGGTTGCTTCTCATCCCAAGACTGGTCATGCTCAACTATTACCACCATATTTACTGAATAAAAAACTAAAGTACTAAATTGTGAGACCATACAGCACAAGCATATTGAGGATTTTCAAGAGATTAACAGCATCCCCTGAAACAACAACCATCTTTAAGTACAGAATGACATTTACCTGACAGCAGCACCTGAAGGCACTAGGTATGCTCAGTATTTTAAATCATATGAAATCTTAAACTGACTCTGTTCAATCACATTATCCGTAAGTGCAATGTTTTCCTCATTCACTGAGGACATTAGCATTGCTGCAACGTTGTCCAGGCAATTCTTTGCTTCTGCTGCATCTGTGCCATCAACAACTCACCACGTTAATCTGCACACCTCTGTTCTTTTTATCTCCAATCTCCTCACATCCTGAAAATTGAAAGGTGCAGACACTCCAGCAAAGAGTAAAATAAACCAGTGAATTCCAAGGACATAATCAAGCCGATGACCTGATGCCTTGAATGATCGGTGATTAAAATACACAACAATTGGAAGGAAAACAGAGTTTTGTAAAACATTTAAAAAACTCATATTTAAGTAACTAACAAGTTCTAATGATAGAAGAGTCCATGTATAACTACAGATCAGTATTGAAAAAAAAAACATAGTATCATCTCTGGAAACACATATTTTTAAACCATTTAACTTACAACTGAGTGTAACTGGAGAAAACAAATATATGTAAATAAAATTTGTTACTAGCTTTGGAGGTTAGAAGAATGAGACAGACATAAAACTGGCCAAACCTTTTACCTGCAGGTAAGCTCCAATAAATATGGGAAAAGTGTAAATGAATCAAAATAATTGCTTTTAGACTGAGTCTCCAGGGAAGCTCTGTCTAGATCTTAAAATTAATTTATACTTTTACATTACTACTGTTGCTCTATTCTACATATCAGATATGTATTAATTTCTAAAGTGAAATAAACTCTTGCCTAGCAGTTGCATATGTACAGTCGTATGCAAGTTGTATTGCTGAAAATTTCTGATTTTTAAAAACAATACAAGATTGGAATAACTTGGTCCCTTTCATCGTATATAAAAAGTGACACAAGATTAGTACATTTCCCAATGTAGAATTTTTTCACAGAAAGCCAAACAACATCCTAATTAGCAAGATGATTTCTAACAAAATAAATAATTAAAATGCAGCACCTTTTAAAACAATTAATGAAAGATGTTTGCAGCAAATAACCCAACTTCATACCTTTCTTAAGAGATAACAGATCTACATCTGGATTTTACTCATCAACTGACACAAAGGTTAATCACTTTCTCATTTAATTTTGGAGTTTTTTTAACAAGTTATACTTTTGCCCTTTCCTCAACTGAAAAATTAAAAGCACATTCCCCATAAAAAGTTTATTTTGTTTAGTGAAAATGTATATAGAAGACTGCTAATGCTGCCCAGTGATCCTTCAAAGACAAGTCTGGTGAGCTTAGAAGAGGAGATAAGATAAAAACGTAGAAGGCAAAAATTTTTTTACAGATTTAGTTTGTCAAATCATCAAAATTATGTCACCAAATTTCAAGCTCAGAAATTCTTAGTCACACATGAAACACAGAATTGTGATTAAATAATCCTTTAAAAAAAATAATTTAAACTGGAAATTGTATGGAACACTGAAGATGACAAGCAACAGCAGATGTTGTCATTATACAATAGGGCTGGTGCACACATAAAGCATGCTCTGCACAGCAACATGCAAGACACTCATTTTCAATAGGCTCTCATGAATTCCTCTTACTTTGCCATGACACCTAAAGATCCATTTGTAAAGAAATGAAAGTATTTTTCCTAAATATGAGTCAGATAAAAGTCCTACCTATAGAACTTCCTAGAAAATTTAGAAACAGGAAGAACAGAGATCATAAATTTACAGACTTGTGAACAGAAAGTTCACACTTACTAAGTTGGCTACTGATTGATGCAAAGCAATATTCTTTCCACTTTTCTCAGATTATATCAAATTAAGACTACTACAGTGCCTCTTACCTGGGCAGAGCAGTTTGCTATTTACAGCAGCTGATTTTTCTTTTTTTTTTTTAAAGCTTCTGAAAGTACCCATATGATGACCAGCAGTGACAAAAGCAGCAGTCTATACCAAACCATTAAATAATGCAAATAAAAAATTTAAGCAAAGACACTAACTAAAAGCTTGATTTGCTTTTGTACAAAATGCTGAAAAACGTTAAAATAAAAAAAAAAAAAAAAAAGAAGAAAAACTTGAGACAGATATGAGAGTCTGAGACAACACAAAGCTCTCACAAACAACCACACCACTTCCTAAAGGCTTCTATCAGGTGTGCTGTTAAGACTCTTAGTGCAGTGTACGTTAAACCAAAGAATAAAATAAGCCAGGAAATTTCTTGCAATTTTCTGCACTTTGTGTTCTGTAGCTGGAGAAGTGAAAACCTGCTTATTCCTATCAAGATGAGATTCTCCTAGTCCTTGACGCCTTAAGGAAACACAAGTGTAACTGTTATTGCTATAGTATCTCTGGCAAAGCAGCATGGACATCAGCTATTTATCTGGGTATTGCTGATGCACATGGTTACAAAATTTACCTTAAACTACATCCTTCCCTGCTTTTTTCTTCACTTTAAAATTGGGTTCATTCTGTGAACAGTTCCTAGGAATTTCAATAAATTCATCTGGTGACAGAATCCAACAAAACCAACCCAACTTTGAGAAGAAACTCTCGTTTCCTCCTCTCTATGCACAGGATACTCTTTCAAATTCACACTTGTACACTCTGTAGCTTCTAATGTCATTGAACTACTTTGTTACATTTTTTTTAAACACAGTTATACACTTAGATTTCTATTTCTTATCATTCAGTCTACAGACTCTAAAAATAACATGTGAAACAGGATAACAAATACACTATAGAGAGAGACCAGCATATAGTGTTTCTGGAAATATTTGCCTGAGTTGTAGGAGGAAGACAAATTCAATCCCAGAGTCTATCACCTCCTAATGACATTTCCTTTAGTTACTGGAAACACTAGTCATACACAAAAATGAACATCACTACAATAAGGTCCTACACGTCAGAGATCTCAGTAATGTTATAATTCCAAAATCATTTGAGTATCTTATTATTCCAATAACTTGCTGTGTCAGGCAAATGGCTTAACACTGTTAGTCTAACTCTATAAATTTACATGAAGTCTATAATTTTTTCAAGCTACCGCTTAAAATGAAACACACTGCACGCAAGGTTCCATGTTGACTCACTCAGTGAATGTCTATGTCGGCACAGAAATGATTCTCTTTTCTTCCTTACCTCCAGATGCTCTAAAATATAGGGAGGGTTTGTCATGCCAAGCCTCAGCATAGCTCCCTCAGGAATAACTTCAACCAGCTTCCACAGAAGGGTGGGGAGGTCTGTGCCAATGTCTCTGCCATAAGCCCCTGTGTCTTCACTGGTCAGCCATATCTCACAAACACCCTCTGTGAATAAAAGAAAGAGATAATTAACAAATCTGTTTTAGAGCTGTTTATTTTATCATACAGCTGCTCACTCTTTTAAATGCAGTATTTCACAAGGCTATTATGCAGCCAGACTGGATATTCAATTGCAAGGGGGAGGGAAGGAGAAGGAAGGCTTATCCCATGGGTAGCAGTGGGTTATTAAGTTCATTTTATGAGCACAAGAGTGCTACAACAATGCTGTAAATTATCATTGCTGTGGAGTGATTAACATTCATAGCCAATGACTAATTCTGTGCTGCCTCTACAGCAAGTCAGTCAAGTTTAGTACTCTATTCTATTTTTTGAGCTTAATTCATTAAACACCACAAGTGACATTACTCGAGTAGAGTTTGCGTTAATGGCTATTACTAGCAGTTAGCTTATTAACTGGTAAGCTTCCAATAAGCAAATGCAGCTCTAAAGCACTGTGATTAACGTTCCTCCTAGAATAAATATTAAAAACTTGTATTTTTTAAATTATACAGTTAGCAATGCAATATCAAGGTTGTATTGAAAAGGTTAGTGACCACTGAATGATAGTAGAGGAAAACCTGCTTCCTGGCAGTTAATGCTTTTTTTTCCCCATCAGTCAGAGCCTCTGGAAGCAGTATATTTGATTTATATCATAAATAGCAACCTTGAACACTGATATGTGGTAATAATATCCTACTACTCAAAGAGGGGAAAGATTGTACCACCCTTTAATAATAGTTGAAAGGAATAAGGTTTCATGCAGCCAATTCTACTGGTCTGCCCCGCTTTCATCCTTTTTACATTGCAACCCCTCTCCCCTTTCCTTATCACCCCAAAGCAAGAAACAAGCCACCGAAAACAGGATGTCTGTGAGGAATACACCTGTGATTCCTAGCCAGATAAGATACCATTAACTCAGTGAAGAGTTCAATTTCTAAAACAAATGATGAACTGGTAAAGGACACATCCAAACACCAGAAGGTGCATAAGTCATCAAAGAATTCTTTAGACCAGCAGAGAATGTATCACAAAATGTAAATGTTTATGCTACAAACATATACTTAAGATGAGGAAAACATAAACATGTACATAGACTTTAATCACATAAAATGTAATAAACCAATAAACCAGATTAACCAATAAACCATTATGTTTTACAAAATGCAAATTCAGGACTGTTACTCTTAAACTCACACTGTAACAATAAAGGCAGAGAACAAGCTATGCTAAACATCAAAGTTAATCCTGTTTGTACAGAAAGGTTTTCAAGGTCACTTATTATTTAGAATCAAAACACTCATCACTTTTTAAGTTTAGCTTCATGAATTAGTCAGTAAGAGAGATGTGTAATTCTGATCTTGTAAGAAGTCTGGTATAAAGCATTGCAGAAGTACTAACTTCTCTTTGGTTGTCCAGTTGCAGTCACAACTCTGTAGTTCCTCTCAAACTGAGCTCCCCATGCAGAATCTACTAGCAGTACACAATCACACAGTGGATTCTACTGTACATACTCTAGGGTTTGCTGCCTGCCCTACATTTTCCTGAAATGGAAAAAAAAAGTGACTTGTATATGCTATATGTTAAAAAGAAGAGAAGTGTAAAGGATCTAAATGTTTGCTAAGGTCCTGTTACATTTGGTTTGGTTTTGAGTCTTCAGTCTGCACTGCAAAACTGTTATTTATTTGCTGAGTCTCTACTGTAACAGAGTAATTCTCATTTGCAAGCTTTCAACCTAAGGAGTTGCATGGGTTTGGATTTTCTTCCCCCTCCCCCCACCATGAAAATGGCTAATGGAATACTGCCTCACAGTTACCAGATGAACACTGAGGAAAAAATAATAAATCACTGGCTAGGAATGGAAATAACATTCCGGTGGAAAACAACAGTGAGCTTTTAAAGCTGCATAGGTGGGGACCATTAGCCCCCTGGTGGGCTGAAACTTCAAATTAAATCACAAGAAGAGGAAGCAGCTGTAATAGTAAATCAGCAACAACAGGAATAAATGTCTCATCTGCTCTCCGATCGGGGTGTTGAACAACAAGCAATGGGAATAATTCATGCTGAGAGAGCCAAGGACGTAATCTTAATGTGGGGAAGGGCAGGGAGGAGAAAGGACACCTGTATTTGAGGAGAATGTTCATGTCCCAATTTCAGGTTGACAAAATGGATCTTCAAATACTGAAAGGTGCTGTGAGTGATAAGTCTTTACAAGCAATGTAAACCAAATTCATGCAAAACTGTGTGTGATAGAGGTTTTGTGTCAACTGTTTTTAGGCTGTTTTATTCTAGTCCTTTGCATCCTCAGTTTAGGAGTCTAAACTTACACCAGGTAAGAGGAGAAAATAACAGACCTCTCAACCAGAATTAATGAAGTCAACCAATAATTCCAATAATTCCTATTTTCACTTCACCCTGTTGCCCTCCAAACTTCAGCCCTAGGTAGAATTCTGTTTCTTTCTTTTGCAGTGAATCTCACTTGATCATTCACCATTCTGTTACTGGGTAATTTTGGTGTTAACAAAGGCAAGCTGATTTTGTAAACAAGAAAATTGATCCAAACTGCAGAGTTCAGATGTGCAAACTCAGAGCATTTGTTACAGTATTAAGGCCAATTATCATTATAGCCAAATAATTACAAGTCTGCCTTTGGTCACAGCTCGTAGTTTATTTCTCACCCTGCCATCACTACCCAGCACAAAAGAGAAACCTCAATAGTTGGCTTCTGATCTCTGCTCAGCTGTAATCAGAGGTGACTGAGAATGAAAAATACTGGAAAAATAATAGGTTCCAAGGAACTGAAGGAAGTTCTGAGCCTATTTCTTCTCCAATTCTTAATATAAAGAATATTCATAGCAGATTATCTGACGTGGGTTTTAACTTCACTTATGTGGGGTAAACAATCCTTGTCATAAAGAAGATAAATCCTACAGTTATCGCTTTTATGAGATATGTGCATATCTGTTTCAGAGACCACTTGAAATAAATAGTTTCTCTAATAAAAAACTTCCAGCATTTTTATTTTGCTTTATCTTCATGTCACTATTGTAAACACTCGTTTCAGTGGTACCAAACATCCTTTAAACTGAAGTGAAAACTACTCCATCTGAAAAATTAGTTTACTTCAATCTACAAAAACACCTGAAGATGTTAAAATACTGGACACTTATCCCAGTGAAATTCTCCTATTTGTTAGCCTGCTGTATCTTTGTACAAATTACATTCAATACCCAAAGCCCCTTCTTTTTTATTTCTCCTTCCCTTCATTCTCTTCTTTCCTGGTAGAGCTTCTAATGCGAAGAGGAGTGGCTTTTCCAACAGCACAATGCTCTGCAGGCTGCCTCAGTGGGAGGTCCCCAAATCTGACCTTCTCAGTAGCCCACATATGCTTATCAATAACTGCCTGACCTCCTTGCAATTCCTTCTCGAACAGTGAATTCTTATGGCAGCCTGCAGTGCTGTACAGACCCCAGAAATACCTCCCCCACTGCACCACAGAAATCTTATAGACCATCTGCCAAGGGGAGGCCTGACTTCAATGTTTGTCAAAAACTGCTTGCAGGCTTGAGGACAATCAATCTGACCATTAGAATCTGACACCCTTAGAATTATTAAAAAAAATTTATTAAAAAAAAATCATAGCCAAAGACAGAGAAAAAGGCTTGGGAAAAAAAATTCTTTTGAAACATGCTCATTGTTCAGAATGAGCTTAGCCCACATTAATTTATTTTGTCTTCAATTATCTGAGTTTCCCCTTCTTTACTCAGCATGGATTTTACAGGTACTACTTACATACTTGATGCAGTGCATGTGCTAGATTACTTTGCTGAATGAGTGCCTTAACTGGGAAATTGTGAAGGCATCTGTGCACAAAGCATATCACTGTATCAACCTGAATGTAATGCAAATTTAAACAGAAACTGAGATTTGGAGGAATCAAGTTCCTCCTATAATTCTGAAGTACTCTGCAAGCATTGATTCACCATGTAAGACCCCTCCTCTTAAGACAGTCAGTTTAACCACACAGATCAGCACTGAAGCATCTCATGGTAGAAACCTACTGAAAGAGAAAATCAAGGGAGCAATTCACTGATGCTAATAGAGGTTTAGAAGGATTCATTTCCAGTTCATCAAGAAACCCTCATTTGATCTGTATATATACAGGGCTTCTGGAGGGGAGAGAACGGAGTTAGACACAATCCTGTACAAACTCACCTCAGTTACTCAGGAAGTAACTCACACCTAACTGTCACAATTAGAAACTGCAGGATATCTGTCAAGTAGATGACAAAAGAAGCAAACTGAAGAAAAAAATACAGATCTAGGTACAGAGCTGGTGAAAGACGCAAGCTGTCGAGCCTGAATTTCTAGAGGATCTTTATTATGTCAAAAAATATTTCCTCTTTTCGAAAGATCTATCTTTTCATCCTTTTGGACAGTCTTAAGGACATGAAAAATGATTATGCACTCCTGTTTTCTTAATGCTTGCCACAAACAGGAAAACAAGATCTGAACGACATTACAAATGTGGGCTGACCTACTGGAATGAAATGCTTGGAGAAACTACTAGATCCCAAAACTCCCATTAAAAGAGAAAGTTTAGCAAAATGAAGGCTGGCCTAACCAACCCTTCACATCACAGGAGGAAGCAATGGTTGGTTGAGCGGCCAAGAAAGGCTGTTCAGAATTAGTGCACTTCAAAATGGGGACCAGAAAAATATTTCTCTGAATTTTTGCTATTAGACTCATAATCAAGTACCTCTTTAATAACATAAATTGATCTGAAGCATTGATTAGTATTACATAAGGACCCACTACACAGAGTGACTTAATCTAAAAGCCTGAACAAATTCCACTTTATGTGGTCATCAGGAAAGACAATTCTGTACACACAGTGAGAATTTCTTTTCACTGGATCACAGAATAGCTTAGGCTGCAAAAAACCTCTAGGGGTCATCTAATCCAATCTCCTGTTCAAATCAGGTCCAATTAGATGAGATTGCTCAGGC